CCCCCCCAAGACCTTACCTTATCATTGTTCACCAAAGTCACTATAATCTAAGGGACACTACCTCAATACACGCGACAAATTTACAAAAAAAAAAGAAAGAAATCACCGAAATATAATCTTCAACTAAAAGGCAGTACAACATGCAACAGATTAAACTACACTAACTAAAGGGAATAAATTCTACAACTAGCAGTCATAAAAACTAGCAACCAAAGATTCTAAGACAAAATAATAAACATTTATCGAAGTTCTTTCTAATGTAATTAGTAAGAGTGAATATGGACAAGATCAAATATGAAGGCAACAAATGATGTTAATGCTAAAATAGCAAATATCGAGATAAAAGAGGAACGGTAAAACCTTGATCGCAATGCCTGAAACTTTGTTTGTCAGAAGCAATGAAAATCTGTTGGTCGTTCTTGGGCCTCGATTTCGAGCCCTAGTTACTTTGTCCTTAATTTTCAGAGAGTAATCCAGCGGAGTTTACCCCAAATCTACACAATATAACCCTTTGCAGAATAACCAAAAAACTAAGAACAAAACACCAGATCTTCAAAATGGGTCTCAAGAACGCTTCAGAATTTGACGAATCTCTTAAAAATGGAAGCCCCTTTTAAACTCTAAAAATATGGCTTTTTCTCCGTTGTTCTTCGCCGGAGTTCCGTTGAATACAGACGACGTTTTTGGGATATCTCTTGTGAAAAAGATCTCTAATATTACGTGTTCGATACAATTATATATCAGACAAAGATTAAAACCCCAAAAATTCTACGCTATCACTTTGCTTTGAAAAATCTATTCAAGAATGTATTAACGGGTCGAGAAAAATGGACCGGTTTCAAGCGGAAAGTCGTCGGCGGCGAGTTTGAGAAGTAAAAATGTTCGCCGGAGCAGAGTTGAATGTATCACCAATTTACCGGGAGAGTACTTCTATTGGGATGGATTATCCGTGGTTTATCTGCTATTCATGATGATCATTACTTGATTGGAATGATTATGAACTACGATTAACAACTAAAGTAAAGTAATTGACAATTGACTGCAAAGAACTAGAGATTAACAAAGTTGATTTCTTATCAATGTGAGAAATAATGGTTTTGACATGATAGGTTCAAGGTTGTTATTCTGGATATGATACTGTTATATTTCACTCTTGAGGTTCTATCGATTCTCACGAATTCAATAGGTGATTAGCTTATACTTCCTATTCAGACTCTTCTCTCGATTAAATCTAAATCTTTTAAATAAACTAATGTGAAGTGCTGTGAAACTTGCAAGAATCTATTGGTAGGAATGATCAAAGAGAAACTTCTCGCGAATATTTCTCAATCTTAATTTAAACGGTAACTGCAATACGCTGCAATAATATTCAATAAGATGTTCTTCTTTCGATTAAACACTATAAAGAATAAAACCACAACTATATTAAAGCTCATCCAATAAATTCAAGCAATTAAGCAGTAGTCAAATCTATAAACAACAACCAAGTCACCAAATCATGCCAAACCCTAAGTTAAACTACTCCATAATGATGGAGGAAGTCATCATAAATAGAATTAAAGAGTGAGAAAACATCAATCTAATGTTACAATCCAAACTCCCGTATTGAATTGATGGAAATATGATGAAATTATATGTCTTGTAACCTCCAATGCTCTCCCAAAGCTTCCAAGGTCAAAAGTCCTCTAAAATTCATAGTTTTGATATATTTATACCATGTAGAAACGAGCCCTAAGGAAACTATCCTTTCCAAGACGAAGTGAAAAAAGTTGGGCGACAAAATACACTACCACGGCGCACCGGGCGGCGCACCATGCCACATTAGAGGGAAAATTCAGAGGCCTATTTTTTCACTATGCAAGAATTTTGCACTAGCATCCCGCGCTCTGCTACGCATGGCACAACGTGGTAGTGTATTTTTTTCTGAGTAATTTTTTCTCACTTTTTGACATCCAAACTTGGTCCTCGACCACCGAACGTGATCTCGACTTAATTTTTTGGGCTTTTATCACACTTCAAAGCTCCAACTTATTCAAATTAGCTCCAAATTATCTTAATAGCTCGGAATCATTTCATGCAAGGCATAAAATACGTAATAAGCGCAAATTACCATTAATTAAGTTCAACCACAAGTAAAATACAGTGATTAGAATGCAAACTATAACTAAAATATGAGTTTCTAGCCTACCATCAATGTAGGGCTCCACTTTTATCTATACTCACTTTTAATGTAGAGCTCTAATATTTTTAAGCTCTGCTCACTTTTAATGCACAAAACTAAAAATTTTAATCAATACTTACTTTTAATTATGTTAAGTAGCAATGATGAAGATTATGTGAAGAATGTGGATCAAGCTTTGTCAAGAAAATTCGGGCCAAAGAGAAGAATTGTTAGGGTTTGCTCTAATTTTCTTTTCATATTTGAATTTACATGTTACTTGAGGGGAAGGTAAAATCTTTACAATAACTAATTTCACTTTTACTAAAAGGAAAGCCCAGTACACTAAGCTCCCTCTATGCGCGGGGTCTGGAGAAGGGCCGGACCGCAAGAGTCTATTATATGCAGCCTTATCCTGCATTTCTGCAAGAGGTTGATTCCACGGCTCGAACCCGTGACCTCCTGGTCATATGGCAGCAACTTTACTAGTTACGCTAAGGCTTAACTTCAAACTAATTTCACTTTTACTAAAAGAATATATATNATTCCTCCTTCACACAAAGACAACACAATAACATCCATAATATAGTCCTTAAGAGAATCATGTTTAGAGGGAGAATTTCTTTTCTTAATAAGTTTTTTTTATATTAGTAGATTTGATGTAAGTCGGTTGACCAAACCATATTAAAATATAATATGCCTCTTTTACTATAATTTTCTTGTCGTTTGATTTATTGTCGCCAAGATTTGCTTTGTCACCTTCCTCTTTCTCTGACGCTTTGTTATTTTGATCCCAATAATAATACGGTCTTTATGCAACATCATTTCAAGGTCTTGTCTCTACCGAATGATAATATTAATGCTAGTATTTAAAAAACTACGTCAACTCTGAAAAAAAGTAGAGGTGAAAATAAATATACAATATTTTTAATCCTCTAATTTTCAAACAATAGTAAAATTAAGAGTACATAAGTCTAACTTATCTAATTTTTTGGCATGGGTTCAAGCATTAAAAGTATTATTATTTAAAAATAATTATATATTTTAAAACTATGTAAAAATATTGCTTGAAAAAGAATAGTTTAGACAAATGTCACTTTTCGACCAAGAGAGCAATATGTTTGATGCCTTTTAAAAAAATATAATCCAGCTCATATTTTCTTTAATATGTTTTACGTCACGAGGTTTGGAATAGGATTTGATTAATTTACTTAATTTTTATCTGAATATGCACATAAAGTCTTAAATTTTTTGAAATACTCTAAAATTAATATACTTAAAAAACATAATTAAAAATAGTACAATAAGTGGGCGTTTGGATATAAGAATTGTAAAATTTCAAAATAGGGGGGAAATATTTTTCAAGTGAAAATGGTATTTAAAATTTAGAGTTGTGTTTGTACATGAATATAATTTTGGGTTGTTTTTGAAGTTTTGTGAGTGATTTGAGTGAAAATTTTGAAAAATAGCTTTTCAAAAATTTCTAAAATGTATTTTCAAGTGAAAATTAAAATTTTTATGAACAAACGCTGATTTTTAAAAAAAAAATTTATTTTAAAAAAAAATATATATATTATGTTCAAACGGGCTCTAAGTCATTTGATTCCATTGGAATCATCAAAGAAAAATAGTTTCGCCAAAATAACGGAGTATGTATATATTTACTTGTTCATCCGTTTACTTCACGTTAAACCCGCTAACCCAAGAGAGAGGTTTTCGTCCAATCCCTATAGTCATTACTCGTTACCCAAATTTCTCTTCTTAATCAACATTTCACATTCATTTCTGCATTTTTATAGGAAGATACATCAATTCGTTGCAGACATAATTAACCAAAAACTTAAGAACAATCAGGCTTATAAAATTGAGGGAAACGCCAAGATTCTACAACCAGACCGAGAAGACGAAGCAAATGGATAAAGCAAAAGCTTATCTTGAACCAACCCAGGGAGAATGGGACCGGGTTTCGTCTCTTTCATTTCATCCTCACCGGGTCGGCACAGACTGTAGCTTCTATGAGTATTATGCGCTCAGAGGCATCCGGGTTAACCGAGTTGAACCGGGTCAAGTTTTTTGCACCTTCAAAGTTCCTCCTCGTCTCACTGTATGACATTCCCCAATTTACCCTTTTTTCGTCAGTCCGTGTTATGTGCTTCCCATTTTCAAAGTTTAAATTTTGACTATGTGCTTCCCATTTTCAAAGTTTAAATTTTGATTAGTATAATAAATCAGAATTCTTGAATGTTGTGATGATTTTATAGAAATGTATATTATGGAAAGAAAAGGTTGAAGAAAGTATT